TCAAACTTTTTTTTTTCAGCCCATAGAAAACGCCGCCAAACAATCACAAAGAAGCCTAAAGAACATCATGAAAATGTTTAACTTCATTTTTATACCCCTCCGGAGGGGGATATTATATATATACGGTGTACTGCAGTTGCGGTAGTCTGATTTGACATCCTGCAACCGCAATCAGTCCTTCACCTTTGTCTTCGGCCACCTGGTCTTGTTGTGGGCAATGGACTTGTTTCGTGGTGCGGAGGGGTCTAAGTCCAGCCCGTTTGAGTTCAGCACATATTGTACCCAGTAGATTTATGCAGTGCCGTCCTCGTCTGGGTTTGTAGGCTTGAGAGCCAGTAACGGCAAAGTCTAAGGCCTGAGCAAGTGTGTAGGAGATGGCCTAACATTGACCATCTTTGCTTCGTGACCTTTAATGAGAGGAGGTGTCTGCAATGGCACGCATCCAGCTTATCAAGCATGGCTTTGGATGCTGCCCAGCTGTTGCAGTTGTAGAGCATGATCGATATGCAGTATGCGTTGTAGAGACGGAACTAAAGGGGGATATTGCGATAGTGTATTCCAGTGTTGACGGTCTCGAGGCCGGCCTCGGCCTCGAGGCCGATTTTCATGGCCTCAGCCTTGGCCTCGGAGCCTTCTGGCCTCGGCGAATCGGTCGAGGCCGGCTCAAAGCCGCCCATTTTGATGTGTTTTCTGTTCTAATTAATTTAAATTTTTTTACCATATCAAACCCTCGAGATTCTGCCACAGTGGGTTCCGTGAAACGAACGCATATACAATGTACGCACGAATGAACTGGAAATGGTTGCATTGAACGTACTCACGTACGTAGCATCTTCGCCTAGCCTGCGCTTCAGCTTTCCACGTGCGTGCAAGCGTTATTACTGTTACTGTGTGCCAGACTACATAAGTCTGGCACCAATCCCATTTGCGTACAATATCATGTGGTAGTAGACTAGTCTGGTTGCAGCGTTTCGCCTCTGTACCCTGACCTTTAAAAATGATTTGCGCGGCAAGGTGCGGCAAGCTTAATCATTTCTTTTTATAAGCCACTGTTTCAGTAAAAGTCTGAACTTTCTGAGTACAATCGAGTGTACTCAGTGGCGTAGCCACCGGGGGGGCGTGGGGGGGGGGGGCGACCGCCCCCCCATGAAACCTTGTCGCCCCCCCCAGTCGCCCCCCCACTGAGATTTTGAGTTTCTAAAAAAATTATCATTGATCTATATCTAAATAGTCGCGAATGATCCACATGATGACCACTGAGAAACGACCCTTCGACCGGCGACCGAGGACCAGTAAGCTGACAACCGGTGTGACATAGCGCATAATGATAATCTAAATTGCGTATTAAAGAGGTTGTGGAATGCTCGAAGACATTTCCGTCATTTTTTCGGGTATATGTAGCCTAAGGTGTGATGAAATAAAAACGACTGTTGTTTCTGTCATGAAATGAGTACAAAAGGTACTTTTGAGAGCTGTTTTTCAGGTCCAGTTTCGACCCGAACGTGCAACTGTGTAAAAGTCGTCGTTGCGGGCAGCAAACAAAACACAGTAGATCGTGATGTAATAAACAGGACTCGTGTATGCTACTGTGCATCGGGAGTCCTGTTTATATGATACAAAACTTGAGATTTCTTTCTTTAAAAAATAAAATTCGCCGGACTCCCTACAAGAGGAAACCCATTGCAAGCTGTAAATTTGTAAGCCAGGCACTCCAAAACTCAGTGAATTCAACTAAAAAGATGTTAAAACTCCAACATAATCTTAGCCTTGTTTTAGTGATAGATATTTTATTACGTGTTTTGATAGCTGGCCTCGGCCTTGGCCTTGGCCTCAAAGGTGGTGGCCTCGGCCTTGGCCTTGGCCTCGCGGTTGTGGCCTCGGCCTCGGCCTTGGCCTCGGGAGGTTGTGGCCTCGGCCTTGGCCTTGGCCTCGGAGGTTGTGGCCTCGACTACAACACTGGTGTATTCCTTTTGTGTGTATGTATGGTTGTCTGCGTTTGTTTATGGTGTAAATCGAGGACACACACGTGCAACATCATTGACGAATTGAGGACAGGAACAGAATCGAGAATGACCTCAATTAGAAAACATGTACAAAACCAATGAGAGCTGTTGCGAAAAGGTACAAACAAAAGTACAAACAAAGGAAATGGGAAGTGGCACAAAAGAAAATCCTCGATTTACAAATGTGCTAGCGTATGTCTGTGTGTGTGTGTTATGTTTTGGTTAGGACCTTTTGTCAGCATGATAACTTGAGAAATACATGTACTTTACTTAGGAACTTAAGATATGGTTTGTGGGTTGTTCTTGATAGTGTTAAGAAGCCTAATGATTTTGGGGCCGACAGGTCAAAAGTCAAGGTCACTATTGCTAAAACAATAGAAATCCTGTCAACGTGGTAACTTCAGAAATGCTTAAAGCTACAGTCCATCATTTGTAATTTGTGCATTTTGTTTGTTTGAAGCAACAAAAGAGTTCAAAATCTAATGAAAGATACTGAGCAACTAACCTGATGAAGTTTCAGCTAAGCTTCAGCTGTACATTCCGAGAAAAACAGCATTCTAAGATCTCAATTTCAAATCAAAAGTTACTGAATCATGTTTTGAATTGTTTTGAATTGCAGCTATACCCGACGTAGCGCACTGATCCGACGAATTATAACAACCGCATGCGCGTGTGCGTCGTTCCAATACTTGTGCGCGCTGTGCTGAATAACAAAACGAACTACTAATTTAAATTTTCCTACGGTGCTTCTTAAGAATCACCGTTGGAAATGCCTTCTTTCGTTGATTACTTCAAAATGACAGCTTCCCAGAAAGAATAATTTCACAGGGAGTTTAGTTCCCTTACTATCTTTCAACCAAGTTTGTTTTTCAACAATAATTACGCCAGTTACTTTTCGGATGGCTACAAATGATGGACTATAGCTTTAACTTAGGAATTTGAAATTTGGTTCATGGGTTGTTCTAGGTAGTCTTAAGGAGCCTAGTGCTTTTGGGGCCGACAGGTCAAAGGTCAAGGTCACTATTGTTAAAACAATAGAAATTTTGTCAACGCAATAACTTGAGAAATACTTTACTTAGGAGCTTGAAATTTGGTTTGTGGGTAGACTTAGTAGTGTTAAGAAGACTATTTTAGGGCCGACGGGTCAAAGATCAAGGTCAATATTGCTAAAACATTAGAAATAATGTCAGCACAAATGCCTGAGGAACTTCAAATTTGGTTTTTGGGTTGCTCTTTGGAAGTCTTATTAGGCCTATTGATTTTTGGGCCGACAGTTCAAAGGTAAAGGTCACTATTGCTAAAACAATAGAAATCTCCAATTTTGGTTAGGGGCACTGACTTTAAAAAAAAAAAACTCTCACTTGCAGTAATTTTTGTTATATCAATCCATAGCAACGCTGCCAGATAGAGCAGTCATAAAGAAGCGTAAAGAACATCACAAAGCTTTTTTCATGACTCATTATTGCCCAACGGATTTGGTCTTTTCAAATGGGGATGCAGCTTGCATGCAGCATTGTAATCAGGCTCCAGCCCGTAACCGTAACAAATCCTGGCTTTTGAGTATAGCCTGATCAATACCGCTGGTCCTATTGTGTCCCACATGCCAGCAGCCCAATCAACAGGTCTTTGCAGTGGGCATGTGACTGCTTTAGAGACTACTAAGGATGCGTGCTACTGGTAGATAGCCTTATTGCTACTGCTAGACCAGTTGCAAATGGTGCACCCTTTATCGATCAAATAGGACTGACTATGTGATCGCCTCACATATCAGAAAACCCCCAGCATGTTGCGTTGATATTGATATACAAACGACACAAAATAAAGATTTGCTACCCACAGTTACACAATTTGAGTGGCTTATACATGTACATGTATTCATGTTTTAGAACAATATGAAATCTGAGAAAATGGATGCTCGGTGCCTAAAAAAATACACCATTAATATTTTAAAGAAGAATGAAAGTGTGCCAAGTAACGTGTCCATTGCATAGCGAGTAATGGTAGAAGCCTTTAATGTACATACATGTACGTGAAGATGACATGACTATAGAAACATCAAAAAATTTTCACTTCGAACCTTGGATGCCTCAGATTTTGTGTCCATTCCATTGAGGTCTGACTTAACGGGAGTTTACTGTTTTCCTAATTAAAACCACCACGGAAGTTTTACTTTTTGTCTCTTGTGGACTAAATATCAATAATGCCAAAATTCCGATTATTAGTGGCTATGGATCTGCTATCAATGAGGGAAGAGGGACTCATGTCTCTCTAAAGTTGTATCTCATTAAGGAACCCTTGTACAAGTGTATGTTATAAACTAACACATCTGCCATGGACCATGGGGCATGGATGCAAATTGTGCTCAAAATTTGATTTTCTTTGGGCACTTCTTGAATCTAAGTTAATCACTGTAGACTATTAGCTGAGGCCATCTGGATCATGAAACCAAAATCCACAGTTCTGAAAGTCAACACTGATTCAAATTTTTGCATTTTATTGTACATTTTCAGTGGGAGAATATTGAAAAAAAAAGTTATTGTTATTGCCTTCCGAAAAGATCAAGTTTCATAAATTATTTTTTAGAAATCTGATTCCCACCAATTTTTGGGGACATTTTTACAATGTCGATATCGGGCCATGTGGGCCATTTACACCAGTGTCATACCCAGTAGACTCTTCCAGGTTCTTCCATCAGTGTTCTGGCTATTATCTTTAGAATGGTAGAAACCAGTCTATCATGACTGCATGCCGCATGTGCTTGGTACCCTGAAACAGTTGTTCACAATAGGCCTTTTGTGTAATTTCCTTTGCTGTGGAACTTAGACTTAGAGGGACTGCAACGAAAGGTGATATTAGGCGCTGTCGCTGTTGGTGATCTGCATAGGCTATGACACCAACTGCCATTACTAATGTCAATGGTAGACCGTGTGCCAGAAGTAATGCCCTTTACCCATAATCTGATAATAAACCATGATTTTTGGCGCATTTCCTCTCCAGGAGCGAAGCCTGCCCAAGTCTTTTGTGGTCCCTGAGGAGCATATCTTCCGCCCTCCTGCTGCCAAGGTCCAAAACATCAAGGGAGTGGATTACTTGGGCAAGGCAAAAGTTGTGTCTGAGCTTGTCATCCCAGATACTGAAAACAAAAGAGGAAGGGTAAGAGAGAACCTTTGTATAACATTTAACAACCATCAGAGCTAGAACCTGTTGAAAGATTTGCACACACATAGCAAAACCATGTTACCATTCAATATGCTGTGTAAGGCCAAAAAAGTTAAAAATAATCGGTCTCTGGTCAGACCGAAGTTCCGGAATTGTTTTTTTTTTTTTCAAGCTTGAATTGTACAGACAAGGTGGGTACTATTTTGCTTTATTGTGTCCTCATTATACATTGGTGTCCTCCATAATTTGCCTTGGTGCCCTTTATCATTTGCCTTTGTGCAATTTCCCCATTCCTTGGTGCTCCTCGGTACAAAAATTTGAGGAGGTGCGGCAATAGAGGGCGCTGTTGTAGCTTCCGTGTTAATTTGAAGAGAACAAAAAGGTTGACGCGCATGATTAAAATCGACGTGCGCGCTGACCAGAGACCAAGTATTATTTTTTTTTGGCCTAATGTGTGGTTCTACTCTGCTGATTTTTCCTGAGCACATTCAAGTAAATTTAGGCCCTACCGAGTTAGGCCAAAAAAAAAAAATATTCGGTCTCTGGTCAGACCAAAGTTCCGGAATTGACGCGGCCACGCGGCTTTTTTTTTTTTTTTTGCTTTTTTTTTTTTTTCAAGCTTGGATTATACAGACAAGGTGGGTACTATTTTGCTTTTTTGGTGTCCTCATGTACATTGGTGTCCTCCATAATTTGCCTTGGTGCTTTCAATCATTTGCCTTGGTGCAATTTCCCATTCCTTGGTGCTCTTTGGTAAAAAAAAATTGAGGAGGTGCGGAAATCGAGGGCGCTGTTGGAGCTACCGCAGAACATTTTGGGAAAAAAAAAGATGCGCATGCTTAAAATCGACGCGCGCGCTGACCAGAGACCGACTTATTTTTTTTTTGGCCTTACAGTTTCTGCTATTAACCAAACTCCATCAAATTTGCCTCAGTAAAAAGTATATGCCGTAAAAATGCCAAAACCATTCAAAGCTTTATATTATGCAATGTGTGACATAATTGCTGATGGCCTGTATTATTCTTTGCATAATTAAATTATACTCAGACCTTGCGTCCTTAAATAAAACACTTTATCACTGTTGTGATAAACAGTGTTGTCCAAAATCAAAGTTGTTATCACATTAAAGGTGTATTATTAAATTAAAACATGATTTGATTAAAACTGTTGTTATGTGTTAACGGTATGTATTTCTTTTCATTGTAGAGTCCAAGCCCAATTCCTCCACAACACCTGCCGCCCCATCCTATTCCTATCCCTTCCAACAACTTCAAACCCATCACCCAACCCACCAGGAGCCCCTCCCCTAACCCCAAGACCTTACCCTCTTATCCTCCCCCTACTCTCCCAAGCACCAGCCACAATAGCGCCCCTTTACTACCCAATCCCCCACTCCCAAATCCTCTTAGTGGCACCTCTCCTTCCCCAAGCCCAACTCTGGGTGCAAAGGCAACACACAAGGACACCATTAGTATGTGGAATGAGGGCGTGGTCATGTTTGAGCATGGCCAGGTGGGCCCTGCCCTGGACCACTTGCTGAGAATTACGGAACCACCCGCAAAGATCTTATTCAACATTGGAATGCTGCATCTCAAATTGGGCAATGTCTATGAAGCAGAAAAGGTATTTACAATTATATTTAATTTAAATTAAAAAAACACCCTCCTGCAGCCAAACAATCTAGGTTAACAGAAATGTTTGAAATTTAAAGTGACCCTCCTAATATGTATTCTCATGTAGAGGCATGTCTATTCTTAACAAGGTCATGAAAGACCTGTTAGAGCCCCTGCAAAGCAACTCATACATGTTGCGCATAGGAACAGAATCAATCGCTACATAAAGATCATCCACAAATAGACATTAGGAATACAATCTCGTAAAGGTTGGTCCGGTTAACTTATTCTTGATGATGAGGCTTGCGGTTTTGCCAAAGTCAATTGAGTGTGATCGGCCGACTGATAAGGTTTTTGTGTACAAGAACCCATGGTGCTTGGGGTTTTGTGTAGAATGGTTGCCGGACCACTTTTTACGGGAGTGTGCTAGTAATGGTATCGAGCAATCTTGGCTAAGCCTGCGTGCAGCCAAAGTTACCAATGGCATCCCTACATGGTACCCACCTTCCAAATGGGGGCGCTCTTCAAAACTGACCATTATTATGCATACTGCAAATTATATACCCATTTTCACGGCGCATTGTACATGTAATGGTTTTTTGGGATTGATGTAAGAAATCTCTAACCATTTATTGAAATAAAGTCCTCAAGGGGGGGGGGGGGGAAATCGCTGCAATTTGAATTTAACACTATAAATGCGATTGGAATTTTTGTGCAATGAAATGGCATGCACATAAGTATTCTTCATTTTACATGCAACTTCTGCCCCACATTTTTTCCACTGCAAATTCAGAGTGATTTCGTGTGTACAGGAGAGAAATAGGCAAAATAAGTGGGAAAATTGGTGCAAAAGCAATGTGAAATTGGTGTGAAAAGGGTGACTGTTACCGTTACTTTATTGTAAATTGATATGTTCTGCATTTATGCAGAACATATAAATTAATAATACATACTAGTTTGCCATTGAATCCGATTTTTCAATAATTTGGTCTCTATTTCAATTTTTTTCATTGTTTTCAATTAATAGTTCTCTTGCAATTAAAATGAATCGTGTAGACGGGTGGAATGCCATGAACGTTAATGTGAGATCACCAGCTTCCACTACACACTGAATACGGAATACTAAAAAGACTTATCAACTCGCTTGCAACAATTGAGCTTCTTAAAAGAAAATAAACAATGGTGCATATGATTTTATGAATCAACTCAATTAATACTTTGTCCTTGTTATTTGGCAATCCTTGACAGTATGATTCTCTCAGCACACTAGCACAGTTACGCACTGAACACCATAGGTGTAGCCAGCGGGGGAGGGGGGGGGGGTGTGTGGGTAAGGGGGTATTTACCCCCAATATTTTGTAAAGACTGACTTTTTCCATCCAAATGCCCTTTTTTTCACCAGCGCTTACCCCCCAAATATTTGTAAAGAGTGCCCCTTTTTGTTGTTGTTAGAAAGTGCCCTTTTAAAGACAAAGCCCTCTTTTTTTGCAGTGAACGTAACGGGTGCCTTTTTGTTTAATTTCACACATGCATTGCCCTCAAAAGCGTCTTTATTGTCCGTAGTGTGCATAATCGTCGGTTTTGAACAGCGCCCCCTTCGATATAAGGTACCAGCCCCAACTCCAATGGCAATGGGCATTGTGAACATTTCCCCTACACATTTCGGAGTATCTGGATCAACAAGGTTACTTAAAAAGTCTGCTCTTTTGTTTACTGCTCCGGAAACCCTTTCCATTTCCAGAGAAAACACTGTTTGCAAACACAACTGACAATACTTAGGGCTACAGCTTGTATATATTCTGCTTCATACTTCCATTATAGGTACAACCCTGACAGGGCTTGATTGTATGGAACGCCAAAGAGGCATTTAATGTGATCATCGAATCGGTGATGCACATTTGCAATCGGTGATGCATATTCACGATCGGTGATGGACTTCTGCGACCGGTGATCAACTTTTACTGGTGATGCATACATCCACGAGCGGTGATGGACTTTCGCGATCAGTGATGGACTTTTGCAATCGGTGATGGAATTTTGCAACCGGTGATCAACGATTGGTGATCGCAACTTTAATCACTGCGAAAGACCGTCACCTGTTTGCAAAGTCCATCACCAATTGCAAAGTATCACCGATTGCGAAAGTGCATCACTGATTAAATGCCTCTTTTGCGAAACAAGAACGCCAAAGAGGCATTTAATCGGCGATGGTCTTTCACGATCGGTGATGGACTTTGTGATCGGTGATGGACATTTGCGATCGGTGATGGACTTTCTTGACCATGTGATCAGTTTTGCAATCAGTTGTTGTGTGTTGCGTCTATTCATTGGCACGTTTCACACTGATTTATCAGTTCCTTGCTCCATCATGATATCACTGACTTGTAAGAACTGGAGCAATTTTTACAAATTTATATCATTTCTAGATTTTATTAAACAGTTGTTACAACTTAACACAGTTCAGTATTGAAAACTGTTTATGCGTTGAAGACTGATTGGTTGAACTTGAAGCAATGTTTGAAGAAATGAAGGTTTGATGGAAGTTTGATAGAAGGAAGGTTTTGTAATTGGGGGTGTTGCCAAAATTGGGTGTCTAGGTGTATAAAAGCATGGAGGCATCTCTGCTCTCACAGGTACCTATTTACTCCTGGGTGGAGAGAAGCAATGAGTGACAAAGTGCCATGCCCAAATGCCCAAGGGCACATGCACTATGACCCCGTCAGGACTTGAACCACTGAAGTCAAGGGATCTTACACTGAATTGTACATGGTCTATGCATGGAGCTATATGGTCTATCTATATATATAAGAGAGAGTTTAACTCGGCCTCCGAGACGATGTTTGCTCATGAAAGGATCCGAGACCGCGGGCTCCCGCGACGCCAAAATCGCTCCACGTCCGTGGCAAAATGCGGAGGGTGTCTTCCGCCGGGTCGGACGCTTCGGGTCGTCCTGATTTTCCCGTACGGACCGGCGATCCGTTTAGTCGATTTTTCGTGACTGCGTTTTGCGCAGGAATTTGCCGTCGTGTGCGCTTTCACGTTGACTGCCTGGCCGCCCCCTGTGCTGGCTTTTTCTGCGTGTCTAGACTGTGCGAGGTCAGCGAGGTCAACGTAGGGGTTGCGTTTACGTGTTCTACTCGGCTGTTTTGCAAAAGAGTTCACCAAACGTTAGCATGGGGTGACCTTGGTAAAATATTTTTTGTCCATGGTGCGTGGCCACCAAGTGTCCCTATTCTTTCATATGCTTCGCTTGCCGCCCCTGTGCCGAGTGCAACGAATACTACTCAGGACTATACATTAGTATGCCTAGCGCGGTCTGACCAATCGAAAGTCTACACTGCGTGGTACTTCCCGGCTATGCGTAAAACCGTCACTGGCAACGCGTACTGCAGCCTGCTCCACACCCTGGAAACGAGGTTGGGTCTACGGTGCTCGCTATTTGAAGCACAAGCATGTGACGTCGCGTGATAGAGTGCTGTTGCTTCCATAATGTGTTACAGCTCCATGCTTCCACCACCAAGGCTGAGCGTTGTGAGTTCGCTGCCCGCCACGTATAATTCAGTGTCGTGTTATAATTTCGGGGGCCTGTTTGGGGTCAACGAAGGATCGATGCATTCACTAAAAAATTGACGAAAAAGTGTCCGACCCGGTGGAAGACACACACATTTTTCCACGGACGTGGAGCCATTTTGGTGTACGTGTCGAGGGAGACCGCGGTCTCGGATCCTTTCAGGAGCAAACATTTCTCGGAGGCCAAGTAAAACTTGCTCTTATATAGATGGTTGAACCAACTTCAATAACAGTTAAATCGACTTTTTTGTCGCAGACGGTCTCGCAAATTGTAAGAAGTTCAAGTTTACGTTTGTTGAAGAGTCCAATACTGAAACTTAATTATGGCCTTCGTCCATGATTCAGACCGTTTGTAAATTTATGGTAACACTCAACATTTTCATTTTAAATGACACCTACCTTTACGTTTTATTGCATTATGATTTATTGTCGAAACTGTACAATCAGCCTTCGCCTGTGTACTACGGTAACCCTTTCACTGCATTTTCCAAATGCGACTGCCTCACAAAATGCCAATTTAACAGACCAACGGGAACATTTACAGACAGTTGCCATGGTACATAATTATCATGTGCATAAATCGACGGGGGACAGGGGGAACCCCCCCCCCTCCCCATTTTAAAGCGGGGGACATTGTTTGGTCCCCCCCCCCCCACTTTTTCTTCCCCGAATAAAAATTGTAGCCTACAACAATGATTCTATTGCTCAGAATACATGTAGCTGATTCAATTACTCCAAACTCAAAACTTTAAAAGATGATCTTTTACTAAAATTGGTTTTAGTGGTCAGAAATTGCCTCAGATCACACCACAGAAATTGCTTTTCTATAACTGCATGTCTCCTTAACTATATCCCCATTTACATTTAACTCCCCACATTTTCATCCCCAACACTACGCCCTACCCGATCTATGATCGAGTAAATCAGCTTGTGCTAAATAAGGGGGAAAATATTTTCTAAACCTAGAGATGATTATGGTACAAATTAAAGACAAAACATAAGAAAAGGAAAATAATTAACAACGTCCGCTACAAGCTATTATCGTTACAACCTGGATGCAGAGTTTTTAATTGCTTATATTTTTAATGTATCAATAGTCCATGGTATGTTTTTCTACAAGAGTTTAGATTATTTACCGACAAATAAACCTTTTTTTTTTTACTCTGGCTTGGTCTCCTAATATGCAGATAAATCACCTGTTGATTTGTGTTTAACTAAATTGGCTTATCTTTATTTCCTCGTAAACAAAACAAAAGAGAAAGGACTGAGCTCTATTATTGCACTTAACGCGTGGAAATGTGAACGCAACTTGTAATATCAGTTTTGGTTTAGCCACCAACAACAGAACACATATAAAGTTTCTTAAAAGGGAATTGTTTTTACAGCACTGGCTGCGCTGTGTTGTCATGGATCAAATTCGGTGTTAATATTCCATGACACAGTTGACTGGAAGTTGTTAAGTTTATACCCCCCCCCCCCATACACACACATGTCACATACCGACAAATAAACATTTTTTTTAACTCAGGCTTGGCCTCCTAATATGCGGATAAATCACCTGTTGCTTTGTATTAAACTAATTGGCTTATCTTTATTTCCTCGTAAACAAAACAAAAGAGAAAGGACTGAGCTCTATTATTGCACTTAACGCGTGGAAATTTGAACTCAACTCTGTGTGGTTGTGTTTACATTCCAATCTTATGGTAAAGTAATGTATGCCCTTGCTTGTATGACAGCTGTTGTAGGATTTCTTTTCGGTAACCATTAAACATGTCATTGAACCCACAGTCATCAGTATTGTGGCCGAGCGTGTTTAATTGTGGAGTGCAAACAAACAGAAAATACTTTCGCTATTTAACCCAAATGGTTACATATTCTTTCACAAATGAATAATGATTCACCGGTGAGCATAGTCTTTTAAAAACAATTTTGGGTACTTACACATCGAAGTTTTCAAAGGAAAACATTGAATAATGTTAAAAAAAAAAAACCAAATAAAATTTCTGAATAGCACTACAACCACAACAGTAACCTATGTACCGACACTAAGTCTCTGCTCATTCGCAATGGCCACATTAATGCATTAACTAGTTTAATATAATCTACAAATGATGTAAATTTGTAAAAATTGCTCTAGTTCTAAAGTCGGTGATATCATGGAGCTAGGAACTGATAAATCAGTGTGATAAATGTAACTGATTAATAATAATAATAATAATAATATTGGCTATTTATAAAGCGCACGTATCCACCAGGACTGGTGCTCAAGGCGCTACATCATTATTACCCCTGCTCATTGGGCACATGAAACATTCCAAATACCATCTCAGCTCCCTGGGGAGTATACAGCTCGATGCAGCCTGTTAGGCGCAAGGTAGCTAATTCAATCACAATAACCATCTCTGCCCTCACAGGTACCCATTTACTCCTGGGTGGAGAGAAGCAATGAGTGACAAAGTGCCTTGCCCAAGTGCACACGCACCATGACCCCGCCAGGACTCGAACCCACAACCTGCAGCTTTACCCGCAGACCACGAATCAGTGCCCTTAACCACGAGGCCACAAAACTGATTAGACGCAAGTTCACACACAACAACTGATTGCAAAACTGATCACATGGTCACGAAAGTCCATCACCGATCGCAAATGTCCATCACCGATCGCAAAGTTGATCACCGATCACAAAAGTCTATCACCAATCGCGAAAGTCCATCACAGATTGCAAAGTTGATCACCGTTCGCAAAAGTCCATCACCGATTGCAAAGTTGATCACCGATCACTAAAGTCCATCACCGATCACGAAAGTCCATCACCAATTGCAAAAGTCCATCACCGATCACGAAAATCCATCACAGTTCGTGAATATGCATCACCTGTAAAAGTTGATCACCGGTTGCAGAAGTCCATCACCGATCGTGAATATATGCATCACCGATTGCGAAAGTGCATCACCGATTCGGTAATCACATTAAATGCCTCTTTGGCGTTCCATATGATTGTCAATACATCATATGGAACATGAGATGCTACATGTAAGACCACTTCTTCTGCTCTGAACTATTTCCAAGTAGAGTTTCGAGTCTGCCCATTATTTGACCAATGCCCATGATTTACGGGAAGCATCTTTATGATGTGCGTATATAATTATCCATGATGAGACTAGTATCACAACATACACTACAACTGGATACAAATTGAAAGATGATTTAGGTGAGCTGATAGTAACGATGTAGGAATCCTATGAACTTCTGGACGCTATGGAACATTAAGCTGAAATAATCCTCTTGGTCACATCGGCTAACTGTCGGACATTGAAAGCTGAATTAGCCTATTAATTCCGTTTTCAATATTGACAATACATCCAGTGTTGGCGGAACGGTTTTGCAAGTGAGGGGCATTATATGTCGTTCAAGATGAGTAAACCCTGGTTGAGATGGATATCTGGATCCAACAGTCTGTGAGATGGAATTCCAAACACTTTGGACCAAGGGAATGATTCCTAAGTCTACTCTATATACGTTTTTTAAACGAATTGGCAAAACAAAAACTATTGCCAAAAAAGACAACTAACATATTCCTGCATTTCTCCAATTCTCGCTACTTTTTGACTCATCGCTACTTTTGGAACAGAGTGACACACGCACATACATGTAGGTACAGTGAAAATCCCTTACTGTGGTACTTTTTTTGTGGACAGGATGAAAAATGACTACTTTTACATAATTGGCATTGCAACTCAAAGTGCTATTTTCATGATTTTTTCAGTATTTGAAAGAAAAACTCTCAGCTTCAGTCTGATACCCAAAACATAAAAATCCCCTGATCATTTTTTAAAATAAATTTTCAACCCTAAAACATTTACCTTTATTAAAGGCAAATGTTTTAGGGTTGAATTTTTTACAGGGTGTCCCAGAAAAACATTACACCCTAACTTTAAGTGATTGCAACTTCAAAAATAAGTTTGAAAATTTAGGTCGCACCAAGATGACATCATCACATGATTGATTTTTAGATTTTAGTTGTATTATCAGCATATCTGATAAAACAACAAAAATGATATCGGATTGTCAAGTTGGCATAGCAGTACTTTCCTCCCCTCCTATCTCTGTGACCCAGGTTCAAATCCCGCCTAGGCCAAAATGTGGATTGGGTTTTTAGTCCCTACCTGATGCCGTAGGTTTTCGCTAGAATATCGAAAACTGTAATTTCCTTCCACATAGTCTTCCAAGTCTTAACCATCCTGTTCTGGTGCTTTCGCTGTTGGATGTTGTCAAAAATAAATATAAATATAAATAAATATAATATGTGATAAACAAAGTGACATCCTGATGACATTGTCAATTGATATATAAATGAAAGTATTTTTATTTTGTTCCATTTGCCCCCAAAAACAACAATTTAAATCAGATGAACTGAAAGCCGTTCGCATACAATATCATGTAAAGCTGGTTTCTTGGGGGCGCATGGTTGTGCACCATCTGAAAGGCAGTGTTGTAGTCGAGTCACAAGCCTTGAGTCCGAGTCATAAGCCTCGAGTCCCAGTCCAAGTCTCGAGTCACAAGCCTTGAGTCCAAGTCTCATGCCTCGAGTCCGAGTCCGAGTCATGAGTCACTTGTTCTTAGTTGTCCACCAAAGTAATCAATTTTTTGTTTTAAATTATTTTCAATCATCCATTCTGTCTTTTAGGTAAATACCAGTGTAAATAGTTTACCTTGTGTGTGTACATGTTGTTTTGACCCAAAATATGTTTTCCTTTTAATACTGGACTCTTTTTGGCATGACACCGGGCCCTAGTGCTCGTTGTGCAGGTGCCAGGCATACATGTGTGGCCCCTGGTATCGATTTTCAGCGGCGCTGTGTTTTGTTTTGGAGTAAAAAAGAATGCTACGCTCATCGCACAAATACGTAACGTTATGGGTTTTTTTTCTTTTGATGAAAATACGTGACTCGAGTCATGAATCACCAAGCTCCAGTCCGAATCATCATGGTCGAGTCCAAGTCCGAGTCATTTTCCAATGTGACTCAAGTCAAGTCCAAGTCACGCAAAATGTGACTTGAGTCTGACTCGAGTCCGAGTCCTGGACTCAAGTTGTACAACACTGCTGAAAGGAAACCTTCATTTTCTCAAAGTAATTTTCTCAATAGTCATAAATGTCATGTATCAAAGCAAGTGAAATGCCTAATTAACCAAATAACCAGATAATCTTTTCAGATCTGTGACTGATTTTTTTTTAATTTCAGGTGTTCAAAACAGTAGTTGACAAAGACCCCCACCTTGCTATTGGCTACTATCAAGACGGCAATGTCCAGTGTCAGCTGAACAGGCCAGAGCAGGCCAGGAGACAGTATGAGAAATGCCTAGGCTGCTTCAGAGGTCATAAGTTCATTGACTACAAGCAGCTAGGCTTGCCTTATAAGTTGTACGAATTTGAGGTGGGTGGAGGGGGATTTTGAAGGCAACTGACAATGATATTTTGGTTTCTTATATTGTGGTTTTTATATCGATCAATCTTGCTGTTTCTTCTTCTACGTATTACCATTATTTATTCAGCCAACAGATAAAAAACACATGAACATAGCAATTGTCTACATGTATTTGGGCAATTCCATGAGGAAGTGGACATGGTTGTTCAAATTTTCAAAACTGCAAGCATCGATCACAACCTCAAATGTGGTATCAAATTAAAGGTGACAAGACCTTTCAATGGAGTGATGTGGCAGTGAGGTTGAAGGTGGTTAAATGCATTTTTTTGGGTCCAAAAACTGTTTTTTGGGGGCTACAAGTTCCGGAATTGACGCGGCGACACAGCTTTTTTTTTTTTTTTCAAGCTTGGATTGTACAGACAAGGTGGGGTACTATTTTGCTTTTTTGGTGTCCTCATGTACATTGGTGTCCTTCATAATTTGCCTTGGTGCTCTCGATCATTTGCCGTGGTGCAATTTCCCATTCCTTGATGCTCTTTGGTAAAAAAAATTGAGGAGGTGCGGCAATAGAGGAGCTACCGCGTAACATTTTGGAAAAAAAAAAGATTGACGCGCATGATTAAAATCGGCGCGCGCGCTGACCAGAGACCGATTTATTATTTTTTTTGGCCTAACTCATATCTCTAAAAGTAAAGGTTGCACACCATTGGCCCAATACAAAGTATTGCTCACCAAACCCTCTTTACCCCAATGCACCTTTTTTAGAAGGAAAAAAAAAGTCCAATTTAAAAAAAAAATCTGAATTGGGCACGCTGTTGCCAGCCCAACTTTTGAGTTTCATATGACATCATCTAAACTAAAAAAATGTGCTTCTGTTAGCAAGTTGTTGTATAAACGTGTACACTAGTTAATACTTAGGAATACATGGCTCACCCATTAAAATTATGTACCGCCCTCTCAGTTTTGGCAAGCATAAACTATGAGTCAGGGGAATTTCCCTGCCATTATACACGCACAATGCAATCCACGTACATGCCTTGCAATGAACGTTTTAAAGGCTAAGAGTGTTGAGCCTTACATTTCAAGGGTGCCGCGGGGCATGTCCAAGTTCGCTCATTGCCAAGAGACACAGGGAAGTTTAAGACCCACTTTTACACTGACATTTTAAAGCAAAATCAAGGTAATATCTGTCAGGGTTGATTTTTCAGGAATTTTCAAATGAATAGAGGCCTTTTCATTATAACTTCTGGTCTGATGACGTCATCAGTTTTTTTTCTTTTTGCGCACAGGTGTTGTCTGTAAAAAGGTCATCATATATACTAATTTGTAGTGATTACCGCAAACTTCGCCACACACATTCATTTAAAAAATGTTTTAACCTGCCGCTAGAGGACTCTTAACATTTTATGGCGTCACTGGTTATTTTTTTCTAAAAGTACAACCTAGCCATAGACTTACATCATTGAAAGCAAGTTCATACCCTTTTCACTTTCAAATTTTAAGGCACTTCTGGTTTCGATCAATTCCCGCAAATCCAAGTTTAGGTCTCCCACGGTTAATTTTATATTGATCTTCAAAGATTAAATCTAGAAATTGTTAATTGCTTGTAATTTGACACCCGATGATGTCATCATGACATCAGAGTAATATGCACCAGTCGGGATGAGGGTTGATATATGTTGAAAGTTTAAGTTCTTAATTATACCGTTTAGGAGAATTATTGTCGGAGAAAAAAAGGAAAGAAGGAAAGAAAATTTATTTAATCAGAACAATTCTGAACAGTGGTCGGGTTGTGCCCAACCACTTAATTAACTGGATTAAAATCTAGCAGTGCAAATGTAACTGAAGTTGGGCCTTTAGAGAAAAGAAATTAGGCAGCAGTGTGACAAGTGTATTACAAATAATATATCTGCCCATACCCCCCCCCCCCCCAGATCAAGGCTGGGAAGAGTGGGGGTGGGGGTGGGTGTGTGTGTGGGTGTGTTCCTGCATGGCATTACGCCTGAGGACAGACAACAAAAGGAGCACAAAGGGGCCATTGATCCTCGAAGGAAGGTGCCTATTGTCCTCGAACGCAGGTTTGTGTGCTTAGTCTATGGGAGAGTGTTATATTACAGGGACAAAGGAAAACACAAAGCCAATCCTCGGAAGCATAGCAAAAAACGACTGTGTGTGTGTGTGTGGGGGGGGGGGGGGGGTTCTAATCAACCTCCCTGTCCCAATGCTATTGAGTTCATTTTTTAGGTTATAATTATGTGAGGTCTGTTCCATACAAAGAATCATTTTTTTTCTTCAGAACTTGAGTATGCTTGTGTGGAGTAGTACATTGATTTCAAGTCTCTCTTGAAAAGCAGATCCTCAATCAAAGAGTTTTTGACATCCATCTTGCAGTCACGTCTAGGGATTTTGTAATGCATCTGAAGGGACCTGGATAAAATGATGACTTTAAACAGACAGTATCCCCATCAAATATAGGATTGTGAACCAAGTTACAAACTTAAAATGTCGTCTGCTGCCCTCACATGTGGTTATGATCCAAATGATGATCTTATGTAACTCGAAGCAAGTCACCGCACGAATTGTTCAAGGTTGTCCCAAATTTAATCTCCAAAAGGTGCTTAAAAAAAAAACACGCCCAAATTTAATGCCACCTTATAGAAAAAGGAGACTTTTCACATGTTTTTTGTGTATTTATTTGAAGTTGTTTGATGCTTGAATGATTCTGTTGCAATTTGTTCTAGGTCAGAACGTAAATTGACTGGACTAAACGGGCACCAAAATGCTAAATTTTCAAATGCAAAGCATTTAAACTTTTGCTGTGTCTGTTTTATGTAAAGTGAATTACCAATAGTATTTTTTAAATTGATTTAAAATAATAAACTACTTGTACACCTGTGCATGTATTTATGTATGTCGGTATGCGTGTCCATATGTAAGTACGTCTGTACTGGCATGTACATGTATGTGATATTTTGGTTAAAGTTTCGAAAAATTGGTCTCATTTCAAAAGTTGAAGTCCAATTGGAACCAAACTGGAGTCATAGATGCAACATAGCAATGTTCATATGATAATGATGTCAAAGGTCACATACCAAGGTCAAAGGTCATCTGAGGTCAAGTTGTAAAATATGCTGAAGATTGGTCTCAATTGAAACAGGCGAGCCGCATGGTTCGAAAACCACCTTGTATGAATAATCTTGACAAGAGTAGAATTTTCTGCTTTTTTTCCCTTGTGGTAATTAGGTTCTTCACAATCAGGCCTGGACTTTCTTCAAGTTGGGTCAAAGAGAGAAATGCAACCAGCTGCTGCTGGAAGCGCAGGGGACTAAACCAGAGACCAAACATGACGCCATTGATAACTCACTCAAGAATGCAAAAGTAAACATTGTTTTCTTAAAAAAACACATTTACTTTCTACATGCTTGTAAAAGGCTTGCCATAGATTTTTGATATGAATAGAATATATGAAACAAATTTGTCCGGGGATTTCTGTGAAGTATGTGACACCCCACAAGCCAAATGTTTTGGTTTACAAACTTGTTTTTGTTGGCAAAAGGTGAAACTATATACAAAATGGCCACCTTCAAATTTACGTCAAACAGCATGTATCCTCATCCCTTTTTTGCTGTTTCATTCAGCTTTAGAAAGTTTTTTTCTTACATCTTTTTTTTGGAGGAGTGTTTCAGCAATTTTATAACGTGTCAAAACAGTGCAAACTGTATTTCGTTTAGTTTGTGGCAGACAAAGTTGGGGACAATTTTCATGAATTATTGTTTATTTATGATGCCAAATTGTTCATGACACTGTCATCAGGATGCTTCCCAGCACCATATGAAAACATTAAAATGCTTTAAAATCTGGTATAAAATTCTGTCACCAGAGATTTATTCAACCAACTGGCTTTTTGTAAATTATATGTAAGACAGAAAACGACACCTTATCAGAAAAAGACACCTCAGTTAACTCATATCAGAAATGATTCTATTAGTCATATTAAATTCACCCATTTCTTAAATCTGATGAAACAGATTAACATGAGGTCACAAACATTACGCAAGTCAGGCGCTCACATGTAGCACAGGAGAACACACAGTAAACATATAAAGTTTTCTTGATATCAGTGGATGGCAGTGTGTACCATTCCAGTATTTCCCTCTAAATATCAATTTTCAAATTTTCCTATAGGCTGGCGCCCCTTTTGATATAATGAAACTGCCCAAGGGTGCACTTTTTCGCCCACCCAAGGCCAAAATCGACAACTTGAATAAAATTGATTTCCTTGGCCAAGCCAAAGTGGTTTCTACGCTGAACACAGGAGGTGACAGAAGTACTTCCCCTGCTCCAACAAGGGTAAGATTTCTCACTACCTTCCCTTCCCTACAACATCTTAATTAGTTAGATGTTTATCTTATCTTTTTGTTCTCAATTTGAACTAAGATGGGACTTTTTTTGCTTTTACTATTTCTGCTGCTTTCATATTGAAAAACCAATTGACAAACTTACACTTTTCAGTTGTGTACACAAAAATTAAAGAACTAGTTTTTACCCCTCAGCCGAGAGGCTGGAGCTAGGGCTATTGTCATCACATACGGCGTTTGTCCCTATGTCGTTACAGACGTCTGGGCGTCCGTCCGTTCCGGCTGCTTAGTTTCCGGATGATAACTTGAGTTTGCAATGTTGTTTTGATTGTAACTTCGGTAGGGGGTTGCCCTTTGGAGAAGGCAAGTGGGGATTGGTTTGGGGGTCAAAGGTCAAGGTCACCTAGGTGAGTTTAAGGTAAATGGTTTCAGAATGATAAGGCCAAAAAAAAACAACTTCTACTTCCGGTTCCCTTACTGGCCCTATTTTTAGGCTGCGACCCTTAACATTTTATTGGCAAGTCAAAATAAAAATTAAAATTAACAATAAATTAATAAACAAATTAAAAAACCTTATGTCTTTTCTGTCTGAACAAAACACCTCTCAACAACCCGTTTGCGTAAAAAAATGCTTGTATTTATTTGTTCGCTAACTTACATTCGCTATTTTTCTTAGAAGAAACCTCCATTTAAACTATGCAATTCGATGTCTCAGTGATGATATGAAAAACGTGCGTTATAGTGACCATAGTGTTATAATGCTGTATGCAGGGCTAGCAATGACTGGTTCCCGCCGCGCCGCACACTGAAATGCAAAGAAGGCATGATGGAAATGCGGTAACCAGTCTATGCATGGGTATGGCTGCACAATGCAGCTTGGTCGGATTACATCGTAATAATGCCAAGAAAACACCGATGGAAAAAGAACATTTTTGCAAGTTAATTCACAAAACTTTGCTCTTGTCTGTGTATGTATTTTCCGTGTTCATGAATTTATTTTGAGGTCGTGATACTCGTATTTGGAGTGATATGATGCAGCGTGTTTCCCCGAGATTTCCTACCTTAAAAACAAGGTTTTCGCCCGCCACACACAGTGCATCACGCAGGCTTATACCGCGCTATGTACGGACAGTGTCGGCCAGCTTCTTGTCGTGACTAGCGTTGTGCACGACCTGAATTTTCCATTTTTTTAAAAAGAATTATCGACCGTAAATATTTTGACAATAATTAAGGTAACTTTTAATCTCTATTTGTTGTCATTTTTTTTGCATAGCTGTCGTAGTGCAATGTAAATAGTTTAGGCTGAAATTCGCATATAACTGAATACCCCATTCAATCAGCACAACAAATATTGGCCCAAAAATGTTTTTCCAACCGACCGAACCTATTTTTGAGAGGCATGTAACCGGAAGCAGAACTATTTTTTTTTTGGCCTAAGCTGATTTAGAAATGAGATTTGGGTTTGTAACTTCAGTAGGGGGTTGCCCTTGGGTATGGGCTAGTTGGGATTAGTTTGTGGGTTAAAAGGTCAGGGGTCAAGGTCACAGTGGTGAATTTAAGGTTATTGGGTTCTGGATTTTAACTGGACTCCAGCTGAGGGGTTTCAAGAGCAACGCTGTTATTTTCTGGTATCATTTATGGTCTTAAAAAAAGGCTATGGTAAGATTTTTAGAGATGGGCTGGTATTGAGGTACATATGTACATTATGATTATTTTAATTTGGGAGCTGTGACTAAATTCTTAGTATAACTCTTAATTTGGTTTTGTACATTATTAACATTTTTATCTGTCTGAACATCAGACATCACCAGATAATACTGAAGCATTCTACCTCCCGATGTCTCCAACCAACCAGTCCCTATCCCCTCCTCAACAGGCCACCAAACCTAAGGACAACCAGTCCCCACGGAAGTCCCTCCCTGGCCCCCCACCTAAATCCTTACCAGAGCCTCCCCGCAGATCTCTGCCAGGCCCCCCGAGTAAGGCAAGTAACCTGGCACTGCCATCTCTACCCAGCAAGCCATTCGGTGTTGGTCAAGACCTACCAGCACCAGTGCCTCCACGGACCACCAGCCTGGGAGGTCCAAGTCAGACCGACTGCCTGCTGGATGACAACCCTTCACCGAGTCCCTGCCTCCCTAGCCGGCCTATCCCACCAGTACCCAACCATGATCCAATCGATAGTACCATTCCACGCCGAATGCCACCACCTCCCCCACTCATGCAGAATGGCCATGCCCACCTATTGGAAACAGACAACTCCAACCTGGACCGCAAGAGGAAAGTCAGCCCTGCCTTTAACCCTAACCAGCCTCTGCCATTGTTACCCAAATCTGCGGAGAAAGATGAACAGACCTTTTCCAACCTGACTCATCAGCGACCTGTCAGCCCCATTCCACCAAGCAGACCAGTACCTCCGTCACCCAACAGAAATAGTCCTGTGACTGAACGACAAACCCCACCAAACAAACCAGTTCCCCCCTCACCAAACAGACTCAGTCCCGGCATGCCCAACAGAACCCCACCCCCAATCCCAAGTGACACCACCCTTGAACAGAAGAGGCCACCCGTAAGTCCCCTCCCACCCAAGGCCCCTCTTCCCCCACCTCCCCTGGTGAAGGAAGGAGCCACTCAGACAAAATCAAGGGTGCGGGACGCCAATGGGCGAAGCCCAGGAATGGCCAGGAAGATATCACAGGAGGCTAGGGAAAGGAGGGACAATACAGGCATTAACAGTAATGGCCAGGTATGTCAAGTGATATCAAGTATTTCAATGTTTAAGCTAGTGCGTCATCTCAAGATAGGGGATCAAGAATTTGACAATGATCAATGAGTCGCAGAATTTGTTTGAAATCATGTAAGGAATTAACAAATTTGGAGAAACAACTAAAATTTTTGTTGTTTTACATTTTTTTATGTTTGATGTATTTTGCATGTGCACATGTCCACCATCTGAAACTTTTAAATTCTAGTACAGAAAATGGCATGCCTGTGTTAACCTAACTTCGAAGCAGCCTCTAACTTCAGACATGCACACTGAAAAAGAAGCCCAAGCCACAGCCTCCACCACCTTCTTCATGTTCAACAAAATACACTGTATTACAAAGGCTCATTCTAGTCGTTGTTTTTTCCAGTGATGTGTATAAAGTGTACATCGTCATACAAAACCCAACTGCTGTGCTTGAGCAACAACAAGGGTAGAAGAAAGAAAGCTGTCCGCTCGAGCTGTTTGGGCAAATCATCATGACCAGCACTCAAACTCAGATATTTCCATTGCAGCGACCAGTTCTAGGTGGTGGGAAATTCTTTGAGGACAACGTCAACTAAACAGTGTTAACACAGCTCCCTGAAAAAATCCAACAGACATGTACTTGTTACAGAGCAATTTCAAGCTACATAGTTGGCATGCAACTTGTTTAATGTGCATGTAAGATGGCGGGGCTTGGTTTTGACACAGTTACATGTACATGTAACCTCTGGATAATTCAACCACCCCTACCTGGTCACCGGGGCCATGGGACATCAGCATTGTTTTCATCGTAAATCCACCGCAAGGATTACACAAGTAGTACTCTGCATGGATAGGACTACACAACTATTACACCTACTTATTATCAGCCAAGTTTTCCACGTGCACCATGACATTTTCTGCACCGTTCCCAACCTCATATGTTATCCTCCTTCCCCAGCAACAATCATCAGTGTGAATAGCCTAAGCACTTCGCAACTTGGTTGTTATTTAACTCTTTCGCTACGGCGAGCCGCTGACAGCGGCACACACAAATTGTACAAGTCGTACGGCAAGCCGCTGGCAGCGGCTCGGTGACGTCGCTGTGAATAAACAGGGTATCCCCATGACGTGTGCCATATCTACATAATTTATATCATATAACCTCTGACCCTAGTTTGAGCTGCTGCCAGTGGCTCTCCATCTGGCCTGGGTGCGCTGCAGGTTATTGTGAGCAGTTTGTTTACGGAGATACATTTAAAGATGGCGGTGCCCACATCGACGCTCGGCGGAATTTCCAGCGATTTATTACGTCCAAACGGGACAAAATAGGTAAATTAAATTCTGTAGCGAAAGAGTTAAGGTCATGGCGCAATTGAATGTCCTTACTTGTAGATTGACCATGCTACTATTACCCTCATTACTACAGGAATGCTCTGTATTTCTTTGGACAACATGAAATTCAATCTGCATCAACTTTTGTTCGTGAGATCGACAGCATTGCCGAGTCTAACATTCCCACAATCGTTCATTGTCTTTATTTGACTACCGTACCAAAGCTGACACACCATATCCAGGTAGCCATTAGAGGCTTACCTGATAAAGACAGCCTTTTTTCATCCATATGGTATTATTGGACAGGTTTTCTTTAGTTTCCCTTGCCTTCTCAACACTATGTCCATGCCCATTCAACCATTGTTCATTACCAGCGCACATGCACCCTTTGTTTTGAAGCAGACGACAGCATTTTTTTTTATGCAAGCAGACGAAGACATCTCAAAAGTAGGTGGGGAAAAATTTAAATCAGGTCTCTGACAAGCATAATAAAATAAGTTATGAAATTTTCAGATAAGAGGAGAAAACATTTGTCCTTATGACTAGCATTTTGTCGTTATGACTAGCATTTTGGGTGATATTAAAATGAAAAGTTACCATAACATGTTTTTTTACGACTGGATCTGTTACCAAAATAAACTGAAATTGACGACTTTTCGGTCATTTTTTGATCATTGATTTCTACCTGAAAACCAAATATCTCGGACAAAATGTAAAAACAGAAAAGAAGAGTGAAAACAAATAAAGCATTTGCAAGTTTGTGTCGAAGCTGCCAGAGAAAATTTTGCACATTTGCAAACTTATTGAAATTAAACGTTTGTATCCAATTTTAAAATCGAGGTAAGACAAGTAATTTATCCGCATAGCTTAACATGCTTAGTTGACGTGAATTATTCAACACTGGTATCTAAGATACATCTTTTTGTTATAAATCAAACTCGAAACTCAAAAAAATGAAAAGCAAACTCAAATCTTGAAAAGTCGAGTCTAAACTCGAAGTCAACTCGAAACTCAAAAAGTCGGCTCTAACTCAATAAAGTCAACACTACCTTCAAAAAAGTTGAATCGAAACTCACACAGTCAACTCAAACAGTCCAGTCCTGAAGTATGGTTATCTTGGAGCTACCCTCAAAATAGCTGCTTGCAGACCTTCCTCAACTGCAGAGCAATGTCAGTCTCTACTACTCTTCAGGATGGCATACTTGATTCATGTCTTCTCCAGTCATCCCAGCAAAGGCCTGGCTTTGCCTCTTGTGTCTCACAGCAAGTCTGGTAGATCCCTTGGTATAGGATGTACATAATGTCATTTACAAGTTCTATGTGTGTGATTTCCATACATGTCAAAACCCAATCTCAGGTTATCTTTGATCAGCTTCCCTGTTTCTCCCCCCTCAACCCTTCCCTTCAGCTAACGTGACATCAGATGCCTCAGATCTTGGCTGGGGTGCCCATCTGGACAACCAATCAATGGCTGGGACCTGGTCAGCTTCAAAGGGCCAGCTCCACCTCAATTGTTTGGTACTTTTGTGACTATCTAGGGAGGTGTCTGGAGAGACAACTACATTGTGGTTATAAAGATCTTCAGTCAGACATCATCATAACAGTGAAATCTCTTCTGTTACATTTTTGAAAGTGTATGCTGTTACTAATTAATCCTGTCCAATCACTATTTACAATTGCTTTCCAATTTTTTAAAATGTATCTATAAATATCGTTATTTTTTAAAGGTTTGCTGCATAGCACTGATCAATTGTGTAGAAATAAAGACGAAACAGTGCTCACTGGTGATATGGAGCCAAAGTTTCGGACTAGTGTTCTTTGTCAGGGCTGGGTAGCAACTGCTGTGTCAGGCTTAAATGCAGGAAATTCCACTTTGACTTTCTTATAAAGGGTGATACTTCTCATAAGTTTCAATTCGGAAATTGTGAATACCTTGCTTGTGATTTTTATGCCAGTTCAGGGAATTCTTTTAAATCTTGGTGAATAATTTGAGGGGAAGTTGTTTGGCCTATAACATCCTTATGTGCATCACACAGTATGTTTCAATGACAGACGTCCCATGAGGAAGCTAACTATACCATCCTAGGATCCAGGTGCTGTTCTCATGTCACTTACCAAAGCTCCATTTGAACCAGCAAGGTGCTCTTAACTGCATCAGCTCACTATTAAAACTTTAAGTTTTGTTGGCTGCAGCAACATGTTGCCGTAGGAGTACATTTCATGCTAGATATCAAATGTGTTGTGAGCCTAGCAATGTTAGTTTTATCTCAGTGATAACATTTCGCCTAAAAGTGAATGCTGACTGATTTCTGTGCCCCTGATATCTTTGTTCCAATTCTGACACCCTTCTCATCAGTAGAAGAAGAAAATTAATGGTGCCTCATGCAAGCTCTGAAGTATTACCTGTGATAGTTGAAATACACCAGCTGTTTATCACAACTGTCTGCCTCACCCTCAGGCCTCTTTGACCACAATCGCTCTCAACGGGTATCGGAAGCAATAGCAAGTCTTTCCATTAGTCAAGGAGCAAAATCTTAAGCCCATGCCACAAAAAAATGTGGCATGTCAACATCCTGGGCTCATCTGCTTTTGAAATCCCATTCTCAGAGAAAAAATTGTGCAAAATCTTTTCATGCAACTGCATGATCAGCAGGCCGCAAAGTCTATGAAGCTCATTTACAGTAACTGGGCATCTCCTGTTAATGTCTCCACAAGCTTTCAGACAATTAGGTTTTGACATTTTCTGTTGCAGCTGTGTGTCCCATTTTCTCATGGGATCCTCATTGCTACTCTGCAATTATCATCAACCAGAGGTGATTTGTTTTCTGTACTAGAGTTACAAAATCTGAAGAGATTTTTCATTGTAAGAAAACATTCACCTCTGTTTACCATCCCTATCATTTGGAAGTTCCCAAAAAACCTAAAATTTTTTTTTTTTTTAAAGACAGTAGGACACATCTTTGTAATTCAGGGCTTTCTGTGGAACATGTAGTGGGCAAGAAGTGTGTGACTTGGGCTACTCTTTCAGTGAATTTTGGTGTGTACACAAACGTGAGTGTTTTCTCACTGGAATAGGAAAGACCTTCAGATTTTGCAAAATATTCATTTCTTTACAAATGAGCATTGTTCAAACAAGTCTACTCTGTGCTGTTATTTTGTTACAGTAATGCTTTGAAGTGCATGTAACACTAACAAGTGTAAGTAAGTCTCATGTACTATGTACGTATAACAAGCAACTGCATTGAATTTGCATTTAACAATTGTGGCATGTGTGCATTAACTGGTAGTACATTAAACTGCGGTGCAATTGAATTTTTTTTAAATTTTTTTTTATTTGCATATCACATAATCGATATGCCAAACAATCTGAAATAAAATGCCAGATTTTTGAGAGATTCAAATTTTCCACCTTATTTTGAAATCTCATCTTTATGGAAAGGCATGATAACAGAATCACAGGTATGATAACAGAATCACAGGTATCAACTGTGGCTTGTGAGAGGCAAGAACGATATAGCAGCAGCCGATTCCACAAAACTGTGCGTAAGTTAAGCAAGGCAAAGAACATATGCAACACAGTTTCTGTCGATTTCCCGAAAGCAAATTTCACTTGATGCAATGGGGAATGGGAATAAAGGTAAATTATATAAATGCATGCAAAACCGCTGTTTCCAATCATGCCGATGCCAAAAAAAAAAGTTGTGTGCAAGTACAAGATTTCACAGCTAATGTCTGCCCACTCTTGGTAGAATAGAAACATATTTTTTCATGTGGGAGTGTGAACAAAACTTGCTTAATATAAAAATGACAAAATTGCTTGCCATGCATCCATTTTTCTTCCAGCCCCCTCTGTTTGTTGATGTTTTTTTTTTGTAGCAATGATATCAGTTGTTAAATGCTTACGTGAAGTTAGAATTTGTGATTTTTCCCAATAGTCACGTGGCTTAGACCCAATTTTTGACATGATCATTACCGACTGGTCCAAAGCACCAAACTTGGCAGTTATATTCTTATAACCAAGTAGAAGATATTTAGAAAGGGTTGACACCCGAAATTCTTTTGGGAAGGGTGCCTATTTGCATAAATCGTAAATACCTGCCGTGTACTATATGTGTTCCCATATTTGGGTATTTTGTTTTTGGTGATTCTACTTACACATCCTTACTTCAATAACATTTTCTAAAGCACATAAGAGACTGAATAATTATGAGGACAAAGTAACGATCCAAAATGGCTATTATTATACCCTAAAGTTGTGTGCATGTACCTTGTCTGCAGATATCATCACGTAGTCTTGCCAAACCTCAGTATTGATGAGCTTCAAATTCACCAAGTTGCTGCACAGTGACCCTATGGAAAATCATGTGAACAATGACCACATTGTGATATTTAGCCCAGAAAACAAAAACGGGGGAAAAAACGAGGTGTCCGTAAATTTGGCTAAATGTAGGTGAAGGGTAAGGTGAGAGACTCGAAGAAGTTCAAGGAAATCCCCCAAATTATTGGTAAGAAAACGTTTTGACATAGACATAATTATTTGTAAACAACAATAACCTCTTATTTTGAAGGATTTCCTTGAACTTGTTCAAGTCCCCCACTTTAGGCAACCTTTCGCCTATTTTTTAGCCCAATTTATGGACACCTCATTTCCCCCTTTTTTTACTGTCATTTGTTTTTTTTAGGGTAATTGTGCCAGTAAGTATCCTTGTGAATTTGAAGTTCATCAATACCGACGTTTGGCGAGACAGCTGGATGATATGTGAGGAAAAGGTAAATGCGCGCCATTTTAGGGTATATTGGTAGCCATTTTGTATCTTTATGATGTCCTCATAATCATCTGGGCCCAATTTCTTGGCTCTGCTTACAGTTAGCGAAAAGCTGTGTTTACTACAGCAGAAAATTCCATGCTTACAGCAAGCGTATTTCATGGGTCAGCGAAGAATGTTGGCTTCTGCGCATGCGTACATTCCGTAACTAAGGATTCTGTGCTTACATATAGCGCAGAATTTGTCGTTGGTGACTGTAAGGGTGGAATTCTGTGGAATAGCAGAGCCATGAAATCGGGTCCCGCGGTCTCTGATATGCTTTAGAAAATGTTATTTAAGTGAGGATATGTAAGTAGAATCCCCAAAATATACCTTTCAAATAATAAAAAAATATAGTATTATGTATCAAAATGTAGGAGTGAATATATACATCATCATCATCATCATCATCAGGCTGTGGTCATCCATTGTTGGATGAAGCCCTCCTCGAGCAGTTTCCATTCTCTTCTGTTTGTCATTCTACTCCATGTTGCCGTGTTCATATATGTGGTGATTTCATCTCTCCATCTCCTTTGTCTGCCTCTTCTTCTTCTGCCAGTCCTTGGTTGCCATAGTCTCTTGGTCTTTCTGTTGTCTTGTCTTCTTGCTAAGTGCCCTGCCCATCTCCATTTCATTTCCTTGATCTTCTCTATGATATCTTTGACTTTTGTTTTTGTCTTATGAAGGTATGTCTGATTTTGTCCCATAATGATAGATTGAGCATTCTCCTTTCCATGGCTCTCTGTGTTGTTGTCAATTTTTGTTCCATCTCTTTGGTTGTTGCCCATGTCTCTGCCCCATAAGTCATTGTCGTTTGGACACACTGGTTGTAAATCCTTCTTCTAAATGATATTGTCCGTTAGTAATTTGTTTGTACATGTACCTTCCAAAATATCTCCATCCTCCCTTGATCCTACTTTGTACTTCTTCTCTTGTGGCGTCTTCCATCTTCAGTGTTTGGCCAAGATATTTATAACTCTCCACTTTCTCTATCAGATGACCCTCTATTGTTATTTCTTCTGTTGTCTCAAAGTGTGTCATGAACTTAGTCTTTCCCCTGTGCATTTGTAATCCAACCTGTTTGCTTTCATCATTTAGACTGTGTAGCTGATGTTCCATGTCTTTAACCGATGACGTGGTCAGAACTACAACGTCTGCAAATCTGAGATCAGTGAGCTGTTCTCCATCTATGTTGATCCCCTTCTACTCTAGGTTGGACTTCTTAAATATCTCCTCCAGTGTTAATGTAAAGATCTTTGGGGATAGTGTATCTCCTTGTCTGACACCTCTCTCTATCCTCACTTCGTTTGAGACATCACTATCTATGTGAATTCTAGCAGTAGCGTCGGTGTAAATACGGCAGGTATTGAAGATTTATGCAAATTAGGCTCCCTTCCCAAAATAATTTCAGGTGTCACCCCTTCTAAATATCTTCTTTAGGGCTATAAGAATCTATCTGCCAAGTTTGGTGATTTGGACCAGTCGGTCACGATTCCGGCCATATACCACCTGATTACAACAATTTTTTTTTTTTTGAACCAGAAAACAAATGAAAAGGACTTGACAACACAGCAAGGATTCCAAACATACCCTCTTGGCAAACAATGTAACTTGCTTTAAAAAAAAAAACATTTTTACATTATTTTAATTTTTTTTTCTTTGGCTTTGCTTTATTCCTCTCACTCATAAAACTAACCTCTTTCCCTTAGTCAGATGTGGTGGAGTTCATGGTGGCAGTGCAGAGCTTCATTGGCAAGGACTCAAAGGAGCTGAGCTTTAGCAAGGGAGAGATCATTAGGCAGTGTCGACAAGGTTGTTATTAAACAAATTCATGCAGGGCAAAGTGGTCCTGACCCTCTTTGTGTTCATATGTTTAACAAAAATGAAAGTGTTGGTAAGGCCAGCAAACCTAATGCTGTGTTTCGGATAACCTGACCGACCATACATATCTAGGTGTGCATAGGGTTGGCAGTTTATTTAAAAAATATTTTAGTGATCGGGTACCATCCAGTCACCGTTTTAAAATGGTTGCAATTGGGTGACCCCATCATGATGCATCACCCTAAGGTTTTGTCTTCATTCTTTTGTGTTCGTGTTCGTTGTGCTTTTTTCTTGATAATAATTCTACGTATTTTTTGTTTCTGGCCTCAACAAAGTTCAGGAAAGAGACCATGCAATCATATGTCTGTCCATATGTATGTCTGTGTTGGGGAATGGATAAGCTGATACAATTCTTTGGTTGAGGACCGTGTTTACCGTGACCATTTAGTCCACAACAATATTTTAATATACATTGATTAACTAAACTGGTTGAAGCGACCTGAGACAAAGATTAAATCGAATGAACTGAATGAGTTGAACTAAGTGAGTAGCTGAAATTGAATGAACGGGTTCAATGAAATAGAATGAGGAACTGCTCGTGCTGGAGCAGAAATGATGTACTTGTGGAAAACAGGATGTCTCTGGAATAAGAAATACTTAAGACCCCCGTCACACTTATTCAGAATCAGCAGGAATCAAGCAGAACCAGCCGGAATGAAGAATTTTCAAAATTCGTGCCACATTCGGGAGGGAATTTCAAATTGACCAAGCTTTGTAAGAATGCCGTTCAAATACTTACAGTGTGCTTCAAACCCGCCTCAAATGATTCTTGCACATTCCGGGTGTATTAGCTCTCGAATGCAGCTCGAATGTAGTTGGAACACAGTAGGAATATTTAGAATGCTGTTAGAATGCAGTCAGAATATTTAGAATGCACTTCGATTGCTGCCCGAATACCGCTCGAAGTCTGGTTGGAAGGTACGTGCATGCCTCGAATGCTGTATGAATTCACCTCGAATGCAGTCAGAACGCTCCCGGAATGGCCACTGAATATGGTTGGAATGTCCAAGAATTCAAACAGAATGCAGCTAGTATTTTTAGAATGTACTTCGAATGGTCCCCGATAGGATATAGAATGCTGCCGAATCTAGCATTTTCATCAGTCTCAGCCCAACCAGGCGACTTTTCAATGCAGACTGACATTCCAACGGCAGCTGGCCGCGTTTTTATGCGATTCGGCGTTGTTCTGAATTACGTCCGGACTCATTCGAGGGCCAATCGGGACGTTCCGACTGCATTCGAGCCGCATTCGAGCGGCAATCGAAAGATTCTGACGGCATTCGAAGTGCATTCCAGCTGAATTCTTTTAATATCGAAATAGATTCTGGCAGCAATCGAAACATGAATCGAGATGCATTTGAGGTGCATTCCGGCTCATTCGAGGCGCGTTCGGGACATCCTTACAGGATTTGAAGTGGCTTGGCCTTTCGATTCTCCCTAGAATGCGATCAGAATGTTTTGAATGCTGTTGGAATGCCGTAAGAATATTTAGAATGCAGTCAGAGTGCAGTTAGAATACACTTCGAATGCCGTTCGATATTTCTCCACTTCGAATGCACCTCGAAAGTTTTGAGCATGAGCAACACATTCGGGCCGGCCACAAGAATGGGCCCGAATATTTGGAATGCACTCAGAATGCAGTCAGAAGTTTTAGAATGCACTTCGAACATCCATGAATATACAAAGAATTTTCATTCCGACGGCATTTTGGCTCATTCCGCCTCTAGTGTGACTAGGGTTTTAGAATGGGAAAACTTAGTCATGTTTTGGTTTCCATGAATCTCAGAAAGATGACTATGAATGAGTAATAGTACCTTAAAACAATGATCAAGTAACTTCGTTGTACTGAGAAACTGCTCTGTGACTTGTGCGTGGGCAGTGAAGGTCATTTGCTCTGTATAAAGCTTAACTATAGGGACTACACAGTGCATAAAATCCGCATACCGTTATTTTGTTTTACCGTTTTGGATTTCCTCAAAAACAATAACAGTAAACAAGCCATTGACCTTTTTGTCGTTTTACAGTTTTGTAAAACGGTCAAACGGTATTAAGATAAATACGGTGATTCCGTTTTATCAGTTCAGTAAAATGCATTACAGCATTTACGATCAAAGTTGTTTGTTTTACAATTTTACACAAATAACTTTTAATCAGCAAAACGGTCAGTATTGAATACAGACTGTTTTTTATTTCAGTGTAGTCATAGTTAACAGTCTGTGGTGCATTTTGTGGCAGTGGGCAGAGGGGGTGGAGGGGCCATGCCGTGCACGAAGAAGTGTTACTGTGGTTTAAGTAATGGGTGGTGAGATTCTTGGCCTGACCCTGACCCCCATCTACTGCAATTCAGTTGGTGGGGCTTAAAGAGTTGCAAGCACAAATGGCGCTGGGAAATTTCAAGGAGGAAATTTCACAATGGATACAGGATGGTAAGACATATGAAGAAGTTGCAGATATGTTGAAGGAAATTGGAGTTCGGCGCAGCTCTTCAATACGGCATAAATAAATGTAAGGAGGGCAAATTCCCAGGCAGTGACTCGATCCCAAGGACACATTAACATTCCTAGGTGCATTGCTTAATTGCCAAACCTGAATCCAAAAATGGTCGACAAGACTATTGACCGTTTTGTCATTGTCGTGTTTTTGTAAAACAAGACTCTTAAAATAAAGCAACTAAACGTTTATCGCTTTTTACAATAAAAAAAAGGACAAATAGGTTTTTTTTTTGGTGTGACTTCATACCATTTTACAAAACTGTAAAACGACAAAACGGTCAGTGGTTTATTGTTCACGGTTTGTGTTATTGAGGAAATCCAAACCGGTAAAACGAAATAACGGTATGTCCCGGGATTGCATAAGCACCCTGTGGGTGTATGATGTATATAAGAAAAATGATGAGTAATACATTCAGTAGAATTAACCGTTATACAGGAATGATCATTAAAATGTTCAAGGAACATTGATAATTAAAGTGTTTAAAATGTGAAAATTAACTAGAAATTAAGACAAATCGATAATTAAGAATTGACCATCTGAAAACGCTACAGGAGCCCCCTTCCAGTTAGCCTTTAGTCAAGTCCCACTCCCCTATACCCGGACCATCCAGACACGTAACGCATCCCGGATGCTGGCACGTAAAAAGACTAGCACGAGTGGCAGAGCCGAGAGGGCCCAACCTCGTCCCCAGGGTGTCGAGCAGTACGCGCCCACCACTACCTGCTCTCTCACCCTGGTATTGGATCATTTGCATGTGCAAGATTTTTGCACACGTATGCAAATGAGGAACAGTCTGGTGCCTGGATATGCGTTACACATTAGCGTTTGTTTTTGTATGCGGTGTCTGGGGTAAAAACAGAGTCAATTCGTAGCAGCGCGAGCACGGCGTGAGTTACGAAAACACGATTTTTGAAATCAAACTGTTACGATCTTATCGAGACAACATGCAGTATCATACTTCATATTAATATGAGCAAATTGGAAAGGAAATTAGTATTTTCGAGAAGGCGTGGACGAATGATCGCGAAAACACGTACTGCACGTTGTGAATATATAGCACCAAGTACACGATAAAAATCCATTACTAGCCAATTGCGGTATCCAATCAGGATACAGGAAGAAAGTTTCCTATCCAGGGTTTACTATTGGAAACGCGGTTGGAAATAAAGTAAGCACTGGGGACGAGGTTGGAGAGGGCCTTTACTATCTCGTGGAACTAATCACTTATTCATTTATTCAGGTAATATACATCAAGGAATATAAACCAATCATCTAACGGTGGTTTGCGGTTACCAGCAACAGCAAGCGCGCCATGGCGCGCGTGCTGTCTGGCGCCAGACGATGGCTGATTTACGTTTGTAATTCTGCATTTTCATTGGTCAATTCACAACGGGTAATGCATTATGCATGTCTACCAAATCGGTAGACAAATGTAAAGAAAAACATAAGCATTCTCCACGAGATGGTAAATGCCCTCGCGGCTTTGCCGCTCGTGCTAGTCTTTTTATATGTCACCATCCGGAGTGCGTCACGTGTCCGGGTAAGCGCGTGGGACTTGACTAAAGGCTACCTTCCAGTGAGTTTGTGGCAATTAATGGGTGAATGTATAGCGTTTGCACTCTACGTCTGGAACGGGTTGTGCGAGTTGCGTTATTCGTGTTCTCAGGATGAACATTTGAGTCATCTGGGGGGTTGGACTGATGTGATGATTTTGGCATGGCTGTGTTCTGAGAAGAAGTGTCTACATGTAAATGAGCACTTTTCAGTCGGGTCGATGCTGATAGTGTCTGAACAATTGTTCAAATGAACGAAAATTAGTGTGTGATAATTAGCTAAAAATTGAGACGAATCCATAATTAAGAATTGATAATCTGAAAACGCTACATCCGTAGGCCTATGTCCGTCCGTGTGTATGTAATATTTTGGTTAAAGTTTCGAAAAATTGGTCTCATTTCAAAAGTTGAAGTCAAGTTGGAACCAAACTTAAGTTATAGATGCAACATGGCAACCTTTGTATGATAATGATGTCAAAGGTCACATACCAAGGTCAAAGGTCACATACCAAGGTCACAAGGTCATTTGAAATGAAGTTGTAAGAAAGGCTAAAAATGTAAAATTGGTCTCATTTCAAAAGTTTTAAGTCCAATTGGAACCAAACTCAGGTCATAGATGCGACACGGCAACGTTCATATGATAATGACGTCAAAGGTCACATACCCAAAGTCCATGTGGGGTCAAGTTGTTAAATAGGCTGAAAATGTAAAATTGGTCTCTTTTGAAACAGCTAGCGAGACGCGTGGTTGTCAAATTACAAGTGATTTTAATTCAAAAAGTGACCGTTTTGTTTCAATCATAACTCATGAACAAAAAGATGAATCATGTTCACACTTTGTGATCTGATAGACCATGCCTAGATAAACTTTTCATGTTGGGTACGT